GCCTCCCCTCCTCCTGCAGAGCTTGGCCCCAGGCGCGTTCTTCATTTGGGTGTCTTCAGGGTTGTCACTGACAATGTGACATAGGTCCCTTGCTTGTGCTCCGCGATGGCCAACCCGGGGCTCCTGGGGTGGCAGGGTCAACAGAGTGCCGTTCTGCTCCGTTGATGTGCTGCGCTGTGGTGAGGTCAGGGCCGACAGTGCGCCTTCCTGCCCACATTTCCCCTTTGCCATTGAGGAAGGCTCTGACTTCCCACCCCTGTGAAGCCTTCCATGTTGGGTGAGAACCACCCACAGCTAGCGGAAAGCTGGCTCGGGGAACCAACTGCTTTGCAGGCGTCACAAACAGACCTGTCCCAGCTGCTCGTCCACCCTCTTCCCTGCAGGAGCCATTGAGTATTCTGTTTGGTGGCTCCTATGTTTTCAAGAAGGGTGGCTGAGCTGAATCCCAGCACTTTGGGAGGCCGAGGCGGGAAGATCACTTGAGCCCAGGAGCTGGAGATTGCAGAGAACTGAGATCACACCACTGCACTCCAGCCTGGGTGACAGAGTGAGACCCTGAGACCCTGTCTCTAAAACATAAGATAAAAACGCCTGGGGCAGGTGCAGGGTTCGCCAGGCCCTGTGGCTAGCTCAGCTCTCCTCCAGCTCCAGGCTGGCTGCTCGGGTAAGCCCTGCGGGCTTTTCTTTTTTCTTTTTTTGAGACGGAGTCTGCCTCTGTCACCCAGCCGGAAGTGCAGTGACATGATCGCTGCTCACTGCACCCACCACCTCCTGGGTTCAGGTGATTCTCCTGCTTCAGCCTCCTGAGTAGCTGGGATTACAGGCACACACCACCATTCCCAGCTAATTTTTGTATTTTTTTAGTAGAGACAAGGTTTCACCACATTGGCCAGGCTGGTCTCGAACTTCTGACCTCAGGTGATCGGCCCAGTTTACAACTTCTGCTTCAAAGCACAACAAAAGTATACACACACACACACACACACACACACACGCACGCACATAAGATTTTTCTATATGGTCATAGTTCTAGCTGTGCATGTGACGCTTGGCCCAGGAATGCTCATTTGGGTGTCTTTTGGGCTGTTACTGATAGACAGTGTGACACAGACCCCTTGGGTGTGATCTAGCAGCCAGTCGGGCTCCTGGGGTAGCCAAGGTCAAAGCTGCTCAGGCCGCCAAGCCCCCCAGCGTCAGTCCTCACCCTATAGATGCCTTGTTCTTCCCGGTTGGCCTTGAAGGTGGGGAGTTTTTTCTAGAATGGCTGGATTTGAGCTGACATCATGGCTGACCCTGTGAACTTGATAGCCTGAATGGGCATCTCCTGGGTGTCAGGCTGACAAATAAAGCATATTTTAGAGACAGCGTCTCGCTCTGTCACCCAGGCTGGAGGGTGATGATGGGATCACAGCTTGCTGCAACCTCAGGCTCCTGGAAGTCTCAGCTACCCAGAGGTCGGGGCCAATGGAAAGGTAAAGGCTTGACCCTAAAATGTGCCCCAGGAGCCAGTGCTGGAAAAATGGATATAGGGTCAGCCATTTCCACTTGCCTCTGGATTTTCCAGGGTCAACACCAGCCTCCTTCCCCCTCTGTTGATTCATTCATTCATTCATTCATTCATTCATTCATGTGTTCATTCACTTGCAACACATTTTAACTGAGTGCCTACTATGGGCTGAGGATATAGCAGTGAGCTGGCCAGATAGGTCCCTGCTCTCATGGAGCTGACATTCTGGTGACCAAAGACAATATATATCAGTGACAAATGCCCAGGATAATTTCAGGTGGTGATAAACACTGATGAAAATGAACAGGGTTACCCGGGCGCGGTGGCTCAAGCCTGTAATCCCAGCACTTTGGGAGGCTGAGGCGGGTGGAACACGAGGTCAAGAGATCGAGACCATCCTGGTCAACATGGTGAAACCCCGTCTCTACTAAAAATACAAAAAAATTAGCTGGGCATGGTGGCGCGTGCCTGTAATCCCAGCTACTCAGGAGGCTGAGGCAGGAGAATTGCCTGAACCCAGGAGGCGGAGGTGGCGGTGAGCCGAGATCGCGCCATTGCACTCCAGCCTGGATAACAAGAGCGAAACTCCGTCTCAAAAAAAAAAAAAAAAAAAAAAGAAAATGAAGAGGGTGTTTGAGTTAGTGAGGGCCTTGGCAGTTTCTTTAGACACAGGGTCAGCGAGGGACTCTCTAAGGAGGTGACATTGAGCTGGGACCTGAAGATAGAAGATGACAGTCTCAGGCAGACGGAACAGCAGTGCAAAGGTATTGAGGCGGGCATGAGCTGGACGATTTGCCAGGTACTTAGGAAGGAACGGGTGAATGACGGGAAGGGAGATGGCAGAGACGAAGCCCAACGGCAGGGTTTGGCCCCAACCTGGGTGGGAGCCCCCAGGTGTGTACAGCAGGTTCCAGACGGCTGCAGCCCGGCCCGGGCCACGAAACGTGCTCCCCAGTGTCCCCAGCAACTTCCGAACTCAGCCTCGGTCAGTGTCCCTGGAGACTTCCTAACTCAGCCTCGTCTCCCCTCCTGTAAAATGGGTAGGTTCAAAGTCTGTCCCTCACAAAACAATTGAGCTGTTTGGGAAGCTCTTAGCTGCTACAGTTACTAACTCACAGTTCAGGAGGCCCCAGGGAGGCGGTTAGGGTGCAGTGTTCTTTGGCAGTTTTCTAAAGCTACTGTTCCCATTAGTTGCTCATGGACGGCCACTCAAAGCCCAGTAGCAAACAGAGTAGCAAACTAGGGTGTCTGTCTGTGATGGGGGAGGGGCGGGGCTGTCTGTGATGGGGGAGGGACGGGGCTGTCTGTGATGGGGGAGGGGCGGGGCTGTCTGTGATGGGGGGCGGGGCGGGACTCAGAGGATACCTCCCCAGAGCCCAGATTCCCAGCACTCATTTGGAATCACCGGCAAGTCAGGTTCTTTTCAGGTTTCCCTGCTTGTGACCAGGACCCCTTCTGCCCCAGGATAAGTGCTCACTCAGTGCTGGTACTGCTTCCTGCCATCTGGGAGGTGGGATTAATAACCCAACCGACGGCCAGGAAGGGAAGGGCCAGTCCCTTTCGGAACACACGCTGCCCCTTCTGGCCTCAGTCTTGCCATCTGTGACGTGATCGGCCCAGAAAACATTGCCATTTGAGTCTATAAGGTTTTCTGCGGGGGGTTTCCTGAGACCTTACAAAGCTGACAGACCCCCTGCCTGCCCCTCTCCTATGCCTGTGGGGAGCCCTCAAGAGGCAGAAGCTGGAAGAACCCCTGAAGACACCCCAAATGTCCCTCCTCCAACTTCAGATCTCAGAGCTGAATCTCATGGAAATCCAAATCCCCAGAGGGTTTTCAGGTGACCCAGGAGGGTTGCCAGGTGGCCTGGGGCTGGCGGAGGAGCTCCCCAGCCTGCTTCCCTCTCCCAAACCCTAGGTGGGGGGTGGGGGGCGGTCAGGCCTTCCTACTGTGGCTCCAGCTTTTTGCCTGGGGATTCCCACTGTCTGCCTGGGCAGAAATGGAGCCAGTGCGGCCAGAACAAGGAGGGCGGGCTCCACTGACCTATGACCCCTCCTGTTCCAGTCTGCAGACTGCTCCCCTCCACACCCACTTCCCTTTTTTCAGACAATGTCAGCCCCAGAGTCTCCCCCCCACCGGTCCCCCAAAAGCCCACAACGGAAGAGCCGGAGCGGGCAGAGAGGGACCTGGCTGCGGGGAGCCCGGCAACCCCAGCGTCCTGGAGGGAGGCGGAGGCACGCAGGGCCCCTGGAAACCACGGCCGCCTCCCCACCGCAGCCATTCCCCGCTCTCCCTGGGGGTTCTCAGATGTTGCCAGATGGCAGAACTGAATCTGCTGAGACGTCACTCCAAAAAAGGAAAGTTGAACTGAAAAAAAAAAAAAAATTCAAACTCTCCAACATCTTAGGAGAAAGCAAAAGAGGGGGGAGGCTCCTCGCCCGGGGCTCCCAGTGCCCTCTGCTGTTCAAAGAGAGCTCCCCTGGTTGGAGAGGGCCAACCTGGAGGCTGGGGAGGAGGGGGTAAATGAGGACACTGGGTTGTCAGGGCGGCCAGCGGGGCCAGGTTCCTGCTGGAGCGGAGTGGCTGCCTCTGCGTGGGGGATCGAGCACACGTGTGCCGTCTGTGACTGTGTGCCTGTGCGGGCCGGGCGTGCGTGGCTCCCAGGGGCACGCTCTGGGATGTGTGTGTGCGCGCGGGGGGAGGGGGGCACTGGCTCGCTGCATTGTCTCTGCATTTGTGTCCCTGAATGTCCCCAAGTGGGACTTCACTCAACAACACATTCTTGAGTCCCTACTGCGAAAGGGCAGTGAACAAAACAGAAATCTCTGCCCTTATGACGCGGGCATTCTAACGTCTGTGTCCCCCGGGGTGCTGTGAACTCGCGTGGGTGTCCCAGTGTTTGTCTGTGTGAGACCTGGCATCTCTGGTCCGGGGCGGGTGGTGAGTCTGCAGGGTGTTTACCGGGGCTGCGTCTCGGGTCTGGGGAGGCCCAGCGTGCTCCTGCCTGGAGAGGGCTCTGCGCGCTACTGTCTGCTCGCGTCCCCAAGTGCCCCACCAAGCGTGCTCTTAGAAGGCCCCGTGTGGGGCCCTCCCTGCGCGCCCCCTCCGCATCCAGTGGCCCCTCCAGAGTTATAATTTAATAGCTGAAACGCGATTCCAGTAAGGTGCAGGGGACTGGGGAGGAGGAGGATGGGGCGGGCTGGGAGGCGCTTCCCCCTACCTCCACGGGGAGCTGCCAAAAAGAAACTCGGCGTCGCGCCCAAGTGTGTGCGTGCGTGTCTGTGTGTGTGGCGGCGTGCGCGCGGGAGTGGGGACGCGCAGGCCCTGGGGAGACGGCGCGGGCCCTTTAAGGAGCCGGAGGGGGCCGGGCCGGGGCGCGTCTGTGCGGGCGGGGAGCCGGGAGCTGGGAGGCCGAGCCGCCGCCTCCCGGGCTCCCGCCCCGCCCCCTCCTCCCCCTCCCGCCGCCGCCACCGCCGCCACCGCCGCCGCGGCCGCCGGGGAGCGCGGAGCCGCGGGCAGGCCGGGCCGCACCGGAGCCCCGCGTCCGCCCGCGACCCGCCCGAGCCCTGCGCCCGCGCCCTGCGCCTCACGATGCGCGCCAAGTTGCGGGCCGGGGACCCCGGGCCGGCGCCCTAGGAGGCGGCGGCGGGAGGATCGCGTCCCGACCAGAGGCTGGGCCTGCTGCGCGCCCCCAGCCCGATCGGCACCGCCACTTGCCTGAGCGCCCCAGCGGCCCGAGCGCGCCCCAAGCCCGGGCGCCACTGCTGCCACCTCCGCGAGGTGAGTTGGGGCCGAGGGTCCCCGCGGAGGGCGGCGGGGGGGAGGCGCGGGGCGCGCTTCCGGGGGATCCGGGGAGGATCAGGCGGCGCACGCGGCTGAGTTGGCGGGGCCCCTGCACTCCGAGTTGGCGCTCTCGGGGGGCGGCCTGTCGGGGAGCGAGGCGCCCCGTCGACACTGCGGCCCGCGTGCTCGGGGGCGCCTGGGAACTTAGGGGAACTCCAGCTCCCCAGCGAGGGGGCGGGAAGGAGGGAAGTGGCGTTGCGGTGGGCGGGGGGCGCGCTGGATGTGCACGGAGCGGCCACCCACCGTGTGCGCCGGCTCTGGGGACTTAGCCACCAGGCGTCCGTGGTCCCCGGTGCAGCCCCAGACCTGGGGGGGCGACACTGCGCCTTATTTTCCTTCGGGCAGCGCGGGTTTGAAAGCCCTTGTAGATGGCACCCCGAGCTCTCTGGCCTGGCTGTTGTGGAAGGGCGCGTGGGGTCTCCCATCAGCCGAGGGGGAGAGCCAGCCTTGCCCGTGTGGGACTTGGGGCCACCGGGCGCTGGGCGGAGTCCCTAGGGAGAGGCGTCCGTGTCCCCCTCCCCCGCGGGCCGGTGTTCCTGGTGTCTGGGCCTGCCTCCCGCGGCTGGTGACGCCTCATTGGGCCGCCTCCTGGTCCCTCCCCCGGGCTGTGCGGTTACTTGGGATGCCACTACTTTGCGAAGTTGGAATTCAGAGCTGATCCCACTTGGGCAGGACTGGGAAGCCCCGGGCCCAGGTGTTGAGGGCAGCTTCCTCCGAGGCCTGCGGGGTGTGGGGGCACCCGTGGGGCGCGCCCTCCCCGCCCCGGACACTTGCAGGGCGAGCAAGCCGAGGGCGGGAGGGCACGGCGGGCGGGAGGGAGAGACACCCTGTACCTGGGAGCTGCTGTTGCCCCGGCCCAATTAGCTTGCGGCGCCCGGCGTTATTTTTACAGGCGCAGGTTTATTTTTTTGGAAGCGAGTGTCCTCCCGCCGCCTGTTCGCGCGCTCCGGCTCTCCGAGGGTCTGGTGCTGGCAGCGGGGGCGGATCTGTTCTGGCGGCTCAGCCTCCTCCCTTCCTCCCCCTCCTCCTCTCCCCCGTTGGTGAGAACTGGTTTTATGATGATTATTATTTTTTTTCCCTTTTTGCAGATATGGAGGAAGGATGTGTGAGGGCGGGAAGGGGGGAGGGAGGAGGGGAGGAGGGGAGAAGGCGGAGGACCCTGGGGCTGGGTGGGGGGCTCTGGGCGCGTTGGGATGCGTTGCCGCTGCCTTGACTTTGCCCCTTTTCAGCCAGGTCTGGGTCCCTGCGGCAGCTTCGATGTGAGGGGCTCTCGTGGTCAGGCTGCGCCGGGAGTGCGACCCTGGGCAGGCTGCGCACCTCGTAGGTGGCCTCTTTTGGGCGTGCTGAGGAGGGGCCGAGCAATGGGAAGCAGCCTTGAGGTGGGGGGATGGCGCACTGTGCACCTTTGCCACTTTCCTGGAAATGGGACCCTGGACAGAGACTTAACCTCTCCATGCCCGTCAGGTTTCCCATCTGCACCATGAGGGTCACAATGGCACTGAGTTCACAGGGTGGTGGTGACAGCTGACCGTCTGTCCCAATCAATCCCTAGGTACTTGGAGGTGTTACTGTGACTACTGGGTCGCCATTCTTACTCCTCGGTTCTAGGATTTCGCTTTTAATGCAGCGTGGCCCTGTGAAAAGGGGCCGCCTCGTCTTTGCCTGGGGGTGGGCAGTGGGGACATTTGGGGGAGGGAGGGGGCCTTTTCCCACTCCCCTCTGCTTGTCCTGAGAGGATGAAGAAGGGCAGGTGCCCCCACCCATTGAACAGATGCAAAGACTGAGTCAGGCCCAGCAGAGCGCCGAAGGGGGGGTGGAGCCTGCGGTGACTGGCGAGTCGGCAGCGGCTGCGAGGGCATCCCGGGCCCTGTCTGGCTTCCCCGAGCCGCCTGCCGTGTCCCTGCTTGGAAATGCACTGCTGCCACCGCCAGCGGGTGCCGGGGGAGTCTGTGGTGCCCGTGCCCAGACGCGGGGGCGGGAGCATAGCGGGCCCCAGCCCTGGCCTCTTCCCACTGAGCTATTTACGCTGCTGGGGATCAATAGTATTGATAAATCCATGTAAATGGTAATGTGGCTGTCAGGCCCCGGTGAGGGCTGGAGATCCCGCCTGGGGCCACGCGCCCCCTCCCCCTCTCAGGGAGGGTTTGGTTACGTGGGAAGGGTTTATTTGGCATAATCTGTTCTTTTCCCCCAATTAATGAGACTCATGCCACTTCCTAAAGATTTCCCCGGGCTCTGCAAACGCGAATTTACTGCATGGAAGCCCTGGGCTGCGGGGAGCTCGATTGTTCTCCGGGCCGGGCGGGGGAGGGGGCGCTGGCAGTGCAGACACCCACCGCGGGAGTTGGAAGGCAGCCCCAGGAGGCCTGGCCCCCAGCGTCTGCCATTCACGCTGGGTGTGGAGGCTGCCTGGCCTGGTTTCCCCCTGGCTGCGAGGGGGCGCGATCTTACTTCTGTGTTCCCAACCCCCACCTGAGAGTGTGGGTGGAGAAGTTGGTGCTGCTCTCCGAGATGGGAGGCGGGGGTGGCACCTACGCAGAGCCCAGCCGGAGGGTCTCCTGGAGTACTGCCTGGGGGAAGGGGGCGCTTACGGCAGAGTCGCCCCAGCTCTGCCTCCTGACGCTGTCTGAACTGAAAAGCCCCAGGAATGCCGCCTGTGACCGTGGGGGGTTGAGAGCTTTTATTTGTGTGTTTTTCCTTTCTCTGTTTCCTCTTCGTATCTCAGAGGCTAAACAGCAGCTTCCCCAGGTGACGCCTTGGAGACTGGGGACCTGCCGGCGGGAGCTGGTAACTCCGGCCCGAGATGCGGGTGGCGGGGGCGGGGGGGGGGGGGCAGAGAGGGGCCAAGCTCGGGCTGCTGTCTGAGGAGGGCAAGGTTTTTTTAGGCCCAGACCAAGGGTGGCAGCTTAGAAGGCCTGTGTCCCTAGGTGGGTGTGTGGGGTCCCCAGGGAAGTGATGCTTGGGAAAGGCCAGCTGGGCATCTTTTGAGGGAGCTTGGAGGCAGGGAACCGACTTTTCAACCCATCCGGGGAATCTCAGCCTCCACACTGGAAAAGGCTACCGATAATACACTAGCGATAAGAACCAACACCTACGTGTGCCAGGAACTGTGCGCTACGAAAATCACTTGTCTACTCTTCACAACCCTTCTATGAGTTGGTGCGTTTATGATCTCATTTTATAGATGGTGAACTTGAGGCACAGAGAGGTTAAGTGACTTGCCCGAGGTCACACAGCTTGGACGTGGAACTAGGAATTAAGACCTGGGATTATTCAGGATCGTGTTAGTGCAGCAAGAATTGTGGCTGCAGAGCTGCTTTGCGGAGCTGCCACGGAGGAAGACATCAATGACGTTTCTTCTTTGAGCAGCACCTACGGATCTTTGCCCCAAGGGGGGGCAGGAGACTGAGAAGTTGTTCTCCCCAGGGTTTGGGGAGAAGGACGGGGCCTGGCATTTCTTTGAAGTCTCATTTTATCTTAAACACTCATGCAAATTTGGCATTCGCCTTGGCGACGCTGCTGTGTTTATTTTGAAATGAAAACATGGTTTTGAATTATTTAGCACGGTGCTCCAGAAAGCTGCAGCTCGGTGTTCTGTGGCCTGGAGTGCCCACAGGCCAGTGCGTCGCCCCGGGGTACGGTGCAGCCGGGGCCTGTGCTCAGTGAGGCCCTGGGGCAGATGGCAGCTGCGCTCCCATTTTCCAGATGACGGCACAGGCCCGGGCTCGCCCGAGGTTGCGCAGAGGGAGGACCTGTGTTTACGATGAATGAATGAACTTCTCGTGTTTTAGAGCAGAGCGAGGCTTCTGAGCCCGGGCACTTCCACACTGCTCCGCCCATTTGGCCCCAGACAGCCTTGAGGAAGGAGCTTTTGGTTTATAAATGTAGAAAGAATTGTCCTAAACAAATATTAGAGGATAATCCCCAAGAGAGGTGCCAAGTTAGCACTGCAGGCTCCAGCGTGGCCATTTACAAACAGTGGGCCCGGGTGAGTGCCCCCGGCTCTCAGGGGTTAGGTACCCTCATCTGCAAAATGGGGACATTGCTGGCCACCTGTGCCACAGTGGAGTGCTTCAGGGGCGAAGGGCGTGGAGATTGGGTTTGCCGCTCAGCTCTGTAGCTTCAAGCTGGGAACCAGTTACTCACCTTCTGGGGCCTCAGTTTGCGCGTCTGTAAAATGGGGATGCTGCTGCTGCTTCTGACTCTGTGGTTGTGAGGATTGAATGAGTTCCTCTGTGTCCCAGGAGCTGCTATTGGATGGAGAGCAGAAACTTTGCTATAGAATTTGTTGTGTGGACCCCGGTCCCCACCTACAGGCTTCTCGGACGCCACCCGTTCCTCCCTCTTCAAAGCTGCTCAGAAGGGTCCTCTAGCGTGGACCCGCCTCTTTCCCAGAGCCCCCGCTTGGGCTTGCTGCCCTTTGGAGATGGTGAGCTCCTCTTCCGTGGGTCATGAGTGTTTCACAAATGTGCTCACTCCCTCCCCCCTGCCCTGAAGGCTGGGGAGGTTTTCCGTTAGCCTTTGATCACAGTGTCTGTCGGGCATCGGGAATCCTTGGAGGTCATGGGCAGCCTGGAGAGTGGGCGAGGCTGTGGGGAGGGCGGGGGAGGGCGGGGGAGGCCTTCTGGGGGAGGGCTCAGTTTCCCCTCTGCTCCTGGTCCCTGAAAAAAGGAGTAGGGTTTGAATCGTGCTTCCATTCTTTAAGAACTTGAGTGAAGCCTCTGACTTTCTGGGCTTGATTTCCTGATTCTTAAAAGGGAAGAGAAAATCACGCCTGCCTTAGAGGGTAGCCTGAGACGGCTGTCCAGAACTCCCGCGGTGATGGCAGAGGATGCCCCTGCGCTGTCCCGTGCTTTACCCACTAGATGTCTGTCACCCGAGAGCACTTGAAAAGTGGGTCCCTGCCACTGAGCAGCTGAGCTGGCCGTGTTATTTAA